AGGAAAAACACTGGGTTTTATTGCTAGTGAAGTTATTTACAAGTGATTGTGAATAGAAAGTGGAAACATTTACAAGCGATTCAGAGTGTTGACAATGCAAGCTATTTACATGACAGGATTTAGACAATACAAACATGAAATTGGTAAATTTGCAGGTGAAATGGAGCAGGAACTCATCATATAGCTTGAACACATGAGGTATAAGCCATACATGACCTTACCAATCTCTAAAGTCCTCTTTATTGAAGGGGCATGTAGTAGACATAAGAAGTTAGAAAAGGCAACCGAACATTTAAGTTGAGAAGTTAAGGAATGAATCGAAATAAGATTGTATATGGACGATGGAACATAAAGAACTCTATGTAGAGTGATATTTGGTGCAAGTGTGACTGTTCCAATCTCTGTGAGTATGACTCTATAGCTGTTTGGTAGGGTGATTAAAATAAGACACACCAAGGTTTTAATGTGAGTGAGTAGGGATTTGTTAAAAGTAATCCAAAATTAACAGAGAGAACAGAGGTAGAGCAAGCAAGAATACCTTTAAAGTTCACAGCTCCACCAGTGAAGTTGGTATATGAATTATATCTCCTCTGGTGCCAGACTGAAAATGCTGAAGCAAAGTCACAAGTTGTCCATACTGCTCTCTAGTGAGATTCACATTGGAGCTACTGCCTTGAAATTGTGTTTCTTCACCTTTCACAGAGAATGTGTTAATTGGAGTACTGTGTACATTAGCCACAGTTCTTTTACCTTTATTGTACTTAGGATTGTGATTAAAATCCTGTGGGTAACTATGAAGCTTGGAGCATTTGTCTTTGGTATGACCAGCGTGCTTGTAGTGATCACAAAATGGGCGAGGTCTGTTTGTGGAAGAATAGTTGTTTGGAGAATAATTGGTTCTGAAGTTGTTGTGCATGGGTATCCGGTTCAAACTATTGTGTACAAGGACATTAACATTCAAAGAAGCAGATTTAATCATAAGCTGATTGTGTGGCTTCATTTCGTTTTGCTTTTCCTCGTGAATAAGCAGAGAAAAAGCTTGTGCCATAGAGGGCAAGGGATTCATCATGAGTATACTGCCCCATATTTTGGTGTACACTTCGTTCAATCCTGATGTTGCCCAAATTCACACCATTGATTGGGATTGTAAAGAGGCCGATGCAATTATAATTACCCAACTTTGAGTCGGGGTCGATTCCTCAGAGAGCTTATATTAGATTTGGTATATACTTAGACTAGGTGTATGACGTGCCTAAAATGAACTTCCACATACTTGGTTGTTTCTTTCTACTTCTAAAATTTATGCTATTGTTTGTAAATGTAAAGCTATATAACGATATTTTTGGTGTTGTTGTTTTTCAACTTTATAAAAAATCTAGGGCTCTGACTTCCACCTAGGTGGTTACCTAACGGGTTGTGGGCTTTAGGGCATGTTTCATTGGTTAGGGTGTAATATAGCAATCAACACACGATTACCCACTCGATACCTCTCGGTAGTTAGAGTGGTTTTGCCCAATTTGGCTTTCTTAAATCCAAATGGATAATTCATAAAACTGTTGATATATGCTCAAGTCGGGTCTTACTATCTCTAGATTCAACCCTTTAATTGTGGCTATCAATAAATGCAAGCAAGAATTAGGCTAAATATCATACACCTAACCTTAAACAAGCCTTAAATCAAACACCCAATAGGTACCCACACTATGGTTGGGTCACAACCTTAGCTAGAGATTTAGCTACTCATAGGCAAAAATGAAGAAACTAAGGAAGAAGATAAGATTAAACTCATAATAGATGATAAAGGGATGAAAATCTAATGTTAAAATAATAAACTAATACAAAATTTCCCAAAGCAGTAAAGGAAAAACGGCTATCTACTTTCTGGAGTTCAAACATGACCTAAATTTGACAAAAAGAACTATTTATACATAACTGAAATTATCGGACAAAATTATCCCTGCGGAGGTTCTGCGGCCGCACAATTCTGTGTGCGGTCCGCACTTTGAAGTTGGGCTTGACAGGATAGGCTTCTGCAGCCGCACAATTCAGGTTTGCGACCGCATGTCTTCAGATTCTGCGGACCGCACATTTCTGAGTGCGGCCGCACTCTTGAATTTGAGCTTGACAGGAGGGACTTCTGCGGACCGCACATTTCTGAGTGCAGCCGCACTTTTGAATTCTGCGGCCGCACAATAATAGTGCAGTTCGCACTTCTTCATGGACTCGGGACTCCATCTCTCTGAACCTCATCTTATGTGGCCACACATTTCTGAGTGCAGCCGCACTCTTGAATTCTATGGCAGCACAATAATAGTGCGGTCCGCACTTATTCATGGATTCAGAACTCCATCTCTCTGAACCTCATCTTCTGCGGCCACATAATAATTGTGCGGTCCGCACTTTGCAAAGGCATTCTGTTAGAGGTCCTTCATAGTCTGCGGCCACACTCAATATTGTGCGGTCCGCACTTTGCTCTTTTTGCTTGGTTTTAGTCCTTGTCCAAAGATACTCCTTCTTGAGTTGAATTTCATCGTTTTGGCGCTTTTTCCAATGTTCCTGCAAGTAAGCACATTTATTAGTTTTCGGGAATACCTTTAAGTATTTTTGAGCTAAAACTAAAGTAAAAGAGTACAAATAAGTAGTCAAAATCCCTACTTATTAAATCCCATGAGAAATTGGATAAGGCTCATATCTTGTTCATCTTTATGCATATTCTCCTTAGCCCCACAGGTGCATTGGCAGCTACATTGCGACTTGACATTTATTATGTTCAATTCCTCCCAAAGTTTCTTTATTTTTGTATAATATCTGTAATATCAAGTAATCCTTGAGTTAAATCGTTTATTTCGTTCTGGATTTGATACAATTTAGTATTGTTGGCCTGATCGTGCCTATCTTCCAATTCTCTCCAAAGTTCAAAAGAACTGCTATCATAATCGACACTGTCAGTAATATTTTTACACAGAGAATTCAAGATTCATGAGGTAACCATATCATCACATCTTTTTCACTGACGGAATTATGGAGAATTTAGAACCGGGCATTTGTACTCATCAGTGATAAAGCCTATTTTATTTTTGACTGAAAGATCTCTAAGAACATTTCTCCTCTAGGATCAATATCCGACGTAGTTGAACGGAGCTGTCACTAGCATCGCACTAGAATTATACGATGGGTGCATGTAGAAAGAGCAGCTCAAATTAACTCCAGAGTCGATGCCGGCGACAGGAGTTGAATTGCTTGATTCAACTCCAGAATCGTTGCTAGGATCAAGGATAGCCATGGGAAACAATGTCAATTTGTTGAAACTGAAGCAAATAGAGAAGAGAATATTGGATCGAGAAAAATTGGGGAATAACTTGAGACCGTGATTTCGGCTCTAGAGCTCAGAATCGAAGAGAGTAGTGAGTTGAATACTGCACTCTGATACCATGTTAAAGTAGAGAAGTAGTGGATGAGCAGAGCTCGAGCTTGAGCTCCAATGGTGGAACCCTAGAAGGTTCTCGAAGAGAGAGAGGATGAGAGACTCTGTTATGTATGGAATTAACTCATTAGTTGTATTAACAATTCAAGTGAGTACATACATACAATATACGTGTGACTACTACTGTTAATAATACTATCTCAACTAACTAACCACTCAACTAACTAACGGCTAAGCTGAAATACATATAATTAATATAATATCTCAATAGTTGCTGTGAAGCTGCGTGTCTATGGTAGTGTAGCCACATCGCAAGTTTCTATGCTAATTATATAATAACAAAAAGGTCTAAATTTTCCCTTGTGGTTAAAGGTTGGTTTAACCATGTTCCCGTCGTTAATAACTAAGGGTAATTTTAAGCCATAAAGACGAGTATATGAATGAGCCAAACTTCTAAAAGAAGGGTAAAGTTACATCTTTTCGCACAGTACAAAGGAAAATTTAAACTCTTCCCCCTAATTATAATATAGGAACATATATTTTTTCGGCTGTCGGAAACTGGTGTTTGGATGGTTGTTAACCATTGTATCCTATTGTATTATTATCCTAAAATAATGTTTGTTTTGATTGTTTATTTAAAATTGATTGTATTGTATTGTTAAATCAATTGTTCCGAGATAATAAAAAGTCACATTTTATGAAACAACGAATTTGGTGTGGTGAGATTGTTTTCTATTTTTCTTTTTAATTATATCCTTACTTATTACTCCATAATTATATTTTATCCTTTATTTTTTAATTTTTTTAAACTCTAAATCTCCAACCTATTGACCTACTTTGTCTTCGTCCATCTTCCAGAATGCCTTTCTTTTCATCCAAATCTCTGTTCTTTTCTTTGTCTCTTTCCATTATTCTATTTTTTTTTAATTTTTCTTTGCTAATGATAGTTAGCCTTTTTCTTTAGGTTTTTGCTCTTGTTTTCAAGCTACATAATTGGTGATAAATTGGTAGAAGAGGTTTTCTTAAATTATTTTTATGTTTAATTCTTAATAAATTTAATATTTAATTGAGGGTATTTTAGTAATTTATCAGTTACAGTACAATACGATACAGTCAAATCAAATAACAAAAATATTATTGAACAACAACAAACGATACAATCGATCCAGACATTGTATTCATAAAGTGATACAGTACAATATAATACAGTACAATACAATACATTATAAAACGATAGGTAACAATGATCCAAACAAGCTGTTAGTTCTTCTTTGTTTAAATTAAACTCAAACCAAACATTATCTTGTTTTCAAATTTAATATCAAACCAAATCAATGATGCGAGCCGGTTTATTTAGATTATCGATTCAATGTTGTTTTCCGATTTAATTGAACACCCTTACTCGTAAATAAATTAAATTTATGTAGTTCAAATGAAAATCTCGTAGAGCAATTAATTTAAATATGAAGATAAATAAGAATACATAAAGGAGAGTCCTAAAATTTTAAATTGGCCTTTTGTCATAACAAACCCAATTTCTTCTCTACCAATCTAGAACCTTCTTTTTGTGTGACCCAAAAGAGGGGAGCAAAAAAGAACAAAATTTTAGAACCTCCTTTTCACGACTTGCCGTGTGGTTTTTTCTTATTTGATTTCTTCGCGGTATAGTTTTCCTAATTCGTCGCCAATATTGATTTCCCGCATCGATAAATACCCTGCGCTATTGCCTTCTTTTTCTTCACAAATCATAAAAAACTAGCCTTCTAGCTTTATTATCGATATATATATCCCTCTGAATCAAGCAAATCCATTTTGAAGGTATTACTTTTCTTTTCCTCCTGTTGCTTTCTAATGATTTTACTTCTGTTCACTTGGCTTATCCAATATATTTTAGTGTAGTTGTTGTTTGATGATTCCGTTCTTTGTTTATCTCTGGATTGTAAAGTTTTCTAGGGTTTTCGATTCCATACAATAATTGATCAATAGGGATAGGCTATGTTCGAGGGAAAAAGAAAAGCCTTTAGAGTAATTTTTATTTATTTGTGGCCTGTTGTATTGATTCTTTTTGTTATGGTTTTATTCTTAAGTTCCCTGGAAAAACTGGTTTGAAGAATTCATTCTGAAACTTAACCTAATCTGAATAAAATTTAATTTTAGATTTTTCATCGTATTATAGGATCAAGAGAGATTTATTAATGTATGGAATTAGTATTATCTCCTGCAAGTTGGGCACCAATGAACGAACAAAAGGGTGAAATTTCTTGTCACTTTGTGAAAAGTAACTTATTTCTGTATAAAGTATGTGTAGCAGCTGTGATACTTTAAGGGATCTAATACGGTATTTGTTTGATTAGTACAGATGCAGATCTTTGTGAAGACCCTGACTGGCAAGACTATAACTCTCGAAGTTGAGAGTTCAGACACGATCGACAATGTTAAAGCCAAAATCCAGGACAAAGAAGGTATTCCACCAGATCAACAACGTTTGATCTTTGCAGGAAAACAGCTCGAGGATGGGCGTACTCTCGCAGATTACAATATTCAAAAGGAGTCGACACTTCACCTTGTTCTTCGCCTCCGTGGTGGAATGCAAATCTTCGTTAAAACCTTAACCGGGAAAACAATCACATTGGAAGTTGAGAGCTCGGACACTATTGATAATGTTAAGGCGAAAATTCAAGATAAGGAAGGTATTATTTTTGCGGGGAAGCAATTGGAAGATGGGCGCACTCTGGCAGATTATAATATTCAAAAGGAGTCAACACTTCACCTAGTCCTCCGCCTTCGTGGTGGAATGCAAATTTTTGTTAAGACCTTAACTGGAAAAACAATCACGTTGGAGGTTGAGAGCTCGGACACGATAGACAATGTTAAGGCTAAAATTCAAGACAAGGAGGGTATCCCACCTGATCAGCAGAGGTTGATTTTTGCTGGGAAGCAATTAGAAGATGGAAGAACTCTGGCTGATTATAACATCCAGAAGGAATCCACCCTTCACCTTGTTCTCAGGTTGAGGGGTGGCATGCAGATCTTTGTGAAGACTTTGACGGGGAAGACGATCACGTTGGAGGTGGAGAGTTCCGATACCATTGATAATGTGAAGGCCAAGATACAGGATAAGGAGGGTATCCCACCAGACCAGCAGAGACTGATTTTTGCAGGGAAACAATTGGAAGATGGAAGGACTCTCGCAGATTATAATATTCAAAAGGAATCTACCCTTCACCTTGTTCTCAGGCTAAGGGGTGGAATGCAAATCTTTGTTAAGACCTTAACTGGAAAAACCATCACATTGGAAGTTGAGAGCTCAGACACGATTGACAATGTGAAGGCGAAGATACAGGATAAAGAAGGTATTCCGCCGGACCAGCAGAGGCTCATCTTTGCTGGAAAACAGTTGGAGGATGGTAGGACACTTGCTGACTATAACATTCAAAAGGAGTCAACACTCCACCTAGTCCTCCGCCTTCGTGGTGGAATGCAAATCTTTGTTAAAACCTTAACGGGAAAGACCATCACATTGGAAGTTGAGAGCTCAGACACGATTGACAATGTGAAGGCGAAGATACAGGATAAAGAAGGTATTCCACCGGACCAGCAGAGGCTCATCTTTGCTGGAAAACAGTTGGAGGATGGTAGGACACTTGCTGACTATAACATTCAAAAGGAGTCAACACTCCACCTAGTCCTCCGCCTTCGTGGTGGAATGCAAATCTTTGTTAAAACCTTAACGGGAAAGACCATCACATTGGAAGTTGAGAGCTCAGACACGATTGACAATGTGAAGGCGAAGATACAGGATAAAGAAGGTATTCCACCGGACCAGCAGAGGCTCATCTTTGCTGGAAAACAGTTGGAGGATGGTAGGACACTGGCGGACTACAATATCCAGAAGGAGTCTACTCTCCATCTTGTGCTGAGGCTGAGGGGTGGATTTTAAGCATTTCTTTCGTCAGATGTTTCTCTTAAGTCATTGTTAATGTTTGTCTTTAGCTTTATTACATCTAGTGTTCAATGACCTCTTATTGATGTCAATGGTATGAATTGTGAATGGACCACTGTTTTCTTAGTGAAATTTGATTTCGTTTCTAATGAAGTTTGCTTCTTTATGATTTTAGTCTTTTTACTGGTGTCTGATATGCAACTCCTAAATCATAATAGTAACATATATAGCCTTATGAGAGAAGGGTTTGTGATGACGAAGGCTTATGTTCAATTTCCTTACTTTTGTCTGGTTTCTTGATAATGAAGCTTTGCTTCAAGTTTGTGGCGATAAATAGCTATTGAAGTCGAATATTTGCTAATACAGGTTTTGCTTTGAGTAATGAGATATTTGAATTTTAATATTTCAAATACTGATCAAATTTTTGAAAAACTTGTTTTGGTGCGTCTGAAATGAAATAATAATGCTTTTCACTTGCATAAGTTTCATAGTTAAGCTTAAAGCACCATTTGTCTACGTCTAAATTCCCGTCTAAATGCTGTTTTTTCCCCAATTTTAACCAGATGGTTTCGTTGGGAGAAGCAGTTTTTTTCTTTTCGGAGCGCCTTGCTATGTATCGTAATTATTCCTAATTCTG